GATAACCCGGGGCACAGGGGTGGGACCGGATTGCACACCTTTGAGACACGCTTGGCTTCTGATGCGAAGAAACGTGACACCGTGACTTTGAGAAGAACAAAGGGAGGGGTAGGTTCCAGGTGATAAGTTCGGGTTTTAATTCCATGCTATGAACAGACCCAGTCAGTCAACATTATTTTTATTTTTGATTAGTTAGATGGACTGCCATGTGACATCTGACAGACAGCATTAGTTTAGAATATTGTTTATTCTTGATGCTTCCTCTGTTTGAGAACTAATCTTACGAAAAATAGTATTAACGGTAGGAATCTGACTTACCTGTTGACCCCAAATGAGACCTGTTCCAAAATAGCCACCATTAATTAGTTGGTCTGTGCACTACGCTGCGGTAGGCATCTTGAATGATCTAGCGTAGGCGGTGCACAGTGTTGTAGCCTATGAGCGACAGTGAGGACACTGGAGAGGACGACCGCAGGATCTTGCGATCAGCTAGAGGCCCAATATCTCACGTGTCCTTAGGACCGGGGGGTGATAGGGAACTGTTCCGCCGGCAGCGGGAGAGGCAGCAGCAGAGGAGAGCTAGAGCAGCCGAGGCCAACAGGGCATTAGCTAGCGAGGCCGGTGCTTCAGCAGCCATGGCTACCACAACCATGAGCACGTCTGCACAACAGACCTCCCCAGCCGGTAGTTCAGGTACCGCCGGGTCTACGGTCGCGCAAACCGTGAGTCAGTCCACTGGCTTAATGGCAAGCCAGCCCGCGGTGTTGACCCCAGAGGATGTCGCCATCCAGCAGGCAGCCCTGCAAGAGGCACAACTACAGCAGGCCTTAGGACAGATAAGAAGAGAGAAGGAAATGATGATTAGAAGAAAAACCAGGTTGCAACGAAGAGTGGCAGACATAGAGGAGTTAGAGACGATGGACTTGACGCATATGGATGATGATGTGAAGGTAGTTAGGAGGGCCCTGCTAGGCGTAATTGAGATGCAGGAGCATCAAACTACCATCCTTCAGGACATTCAACAAAGCCTAGCCGTGTTAGCAGGCCGTGCTCAGGCAGCACCATCACCAGCAGGGCCTGGTGCCTGGCCCGTGCCATATCCTCCTTTTTCTGTCCCACCGGTGACAGGGGTATCCCCATTTGTAGCCCCTTCAACGGTTGCAATAGTTTCCCTGGGCATGCCGCTGTCAGGAGGGGTAACAACAGGAAGTAGTTTACAGGTTCCTGTATAGACAGTGTTTACTCCAAGTCCGTCACAGGTTGCAGTCACCACGCAGCCTGCTGTCTCGCAGTCAGTGCAGCCTCAGGGCACACAGCCCCAGCAACTAGCACAACAACCTGTTTCACCAGGTCCACAGCCTGGA